TCTGACCCGCTCGCTTGGACCCAAGTGATGCCTCACCATTTCTGAATCACAAAACTTTGTATTTTCCAAGTTTCGGTTTGTTTTGAAGTTCCGAATTTATTGGGATTTTGAATTTCAAGAAATTGAAGTCCTGAATTTCGGAATTTTTAAATTTCTCTAGAATTTCTGAAATTTCAGATCTTAAATTGCTTGAATCTTCTGACTTTTTCGAAAATTTTGAAATTTCTATTTTGAATTTGGAAATTTCTCTTTTGAATTTCGAATTTAAGTAAATATATTTTTAAAACCCCTTGGAATTTGATGACATCAAATCGAGGGAGTTATGCAAGTGAATCGGATTCATTTTTGATCAAAAATCTTGGGAAATTGTAGTTTTACAATTTCTCATCAAATCCCATGATATCACAGTAACTCAAAAATGATGCGATCGTGAATCATGGAAGAAAGATTTATAGCCAGCTCAAGAATATTTTGAAGTGTTTTTGAAAGTGTTTGTGAGGCATGAGACAGTACAGAATGATGAGCTTAATGTGTTCTTGAAGGGTTTCCGAAAATGATATCAGATCGAAATTCTAGAAGTACAACTGATGCAAATTCTATCTAAAAAGAAGTGATGGCAAAAATGTCCATATTTTCATTCTGTAAGGGATCTTGAAATTTTCATATAACTATGAAGGTTCACTGCCTCAATTTCCAGACTAAATCTGATCATCTATTACTTTCTCAGTAGATATCATCATAATATGCTCATTCTTTTTGGATGTTTGATACCTTTCCAAGAATACGCAAATTAATAAGAAACATCTCACATCAGACACAAGTGACGTTTCTGGTCCCCTCTTATTCTGACACTGTTTCCGGGTCTTAAATTGTTCAAAGAACACAGACTTCCCCTCAGTTTCTGCTATTTCTGTTTACGAGTTGTAGTACAAAAATATCTGGTCGGCTAGACTTCAAAATCTTAAAGGAAGTGAGCGGCTAAATAATATTTTATCGAATCAAAGATTCGTATAGAGGAACAGAATTTGTTGTTTTCAGAGCATTCCTTGAAAGATTTTCAGAAGATAATCCACGTCATTTCGGTCTCTAGACAGAATACTATCTCGGGATCAGATCTGAGCATTTTTAATGATTTTTGGTCACAACATAAATATTCTCACAGAATAGAAAAGGATCTTTTCTGAAATGTTGAAAAAAATTCAGAATCTCAAAGCCAGAAAGTGAATATCTCCGTGATTCAGAATTTCATATCTCAAAACCACTTACCGTAAAACCTCTAATAGAACGACACCCGGATCGTCCACTTTGAGCCTATATATCTCACTTCTTTTGAAAGATATCAAAAAATGGTTAACTAGTAAAATGTTTATCAGGATATCAGCAACATTTTACTAGTTAGCCACTTTTTGATATCTTTCACAGGAAGTGAGATATATAGGCTCAAAGTGGACGATCCGGGTGGCGTTCTATTAGAGGTTTTACG